AAACCATTATACCCTGATTTCCCATTTTCAATGGGTTCAGGGTATAAAAACTGCAAAACATAAATGAAATAAAAAATTAATTGTATGAAAAATATATAACACCCTTCGGCTGTTCATATAGGGTAAAATATTTTAAAACAACTTCACGTGCAAACATTTTTACGCTGTAAAAAAGTTTTGAAATTCACAAAAAATGGAAGAACAAAAAAAAAAAAAACAAAAAACGCGCAAAAATCCAAAAATATGTAGAAAAACTACAGCCATACGGAAAAACAGCTGCAGGTGAATTTCAACGATTCTGCATAAACTGAAAAATGTGAGAAAAAAAACCCTATGAGAGCAATAGGCATTCAAACTGAACTCGACTCGACTCGGCTCGATGTTCCCTTGTTCGCATACTCTTTCCCTTATTTGTAAACACAATAAAGAGGATTAAAATATTAAAAAGTACTTTGCACATATATAAAATAGAAACGCATAGATATATAAATTCATATGTATGTATATATTTTATGTATGTATATATGTAAATTTAAGCAGAGTATATTTAAAACTGTGTCGACAGAGAATACTTTTTTTTTTTTTTTGGTTACAAAAATGTGTGTTGTTTGTGATTTTTGTGAGAGTTTCGTAGTGGCATGTGGCGTTTATTTGGGCAAACGTTTCCGTCACAGGCGGCAGGACACGCAAGGACGCTTCATAAGAGGCTTGTAAATGCATGCGCCGCAGATGCCCGAACACAGAGGCAATTAATTTCCGCTAGACAAAGGCACAATTGCTTCTATATATATGTATACTTAAGTCAAGCGACAACAACAATGGGCGTGGCATATAGCATGCATGGCATACAGCAAATACATATATGATATATAGAGCCGTGGGCAACAAAGGCAGTTCGAATTCGGTCAAAGCAAACGAGCTGGGCTTTAATTTATGGCTGCCAGAGCAGAGTCAGGCCATCAGCTCGACTTAATAATTACAGCAGAGCTAAAAAAAAAATTTAGGACTTGCTCAAGGTCCGAGCAGTCTATGTAAAAGTTGCCCGCTCTCAATGAAAAAAACGAGAGAAAATAAAAGCGAAAGTGAAAGTACCGTAAGTAAAAGTTTTCTTGTCGCCTTCATAATTTTGCCATTGTCATGCCCCGTGGGCACATTTTGATTTTGTTCGTTGAAGTTATTGGCGAAAAGTTTTTCGCTCTCGTTTCTTTTATGGCCAACGGCTAACGCGGCGTATGCTTAACATGCAGCAAAGGCCAACACATGTTCACAGCTATCAGCTAATGCTCAGTGCCCATAGACCTAATGGCCGATCAATTGGTTCGCACTTTGTTCTTTGCTGCCATTGATACCCGCACAAAGTTTGACATTCCGGCAAATAAACTATTACTAGACGAAACTTTGTGCCATGGCCAAGGTAATTAAAGCCCATTTGAATTTATTATCGTGTGTGTGTGTATGTTTGTGTGTGGGAAATGCTCATTACGTCTAGACTATGAAAGAGGCGATAAATAGTTGAGGCAATATAAGATGATAGTAGGTCATTTCAATATATATATGGAAAGCCCTTTGAATGTGACCAAAGCTTAGAGTTCCAGGAGAGCAAACGCTTCAGTATTTAATTTTATCCCAGTTGTTGAGTTTCGCTTGTGAGAAGAGAGCAGAATTTCGAGGTATTATTAAATATAAAAATATAAAAAATATAAAATAGCTTTTGGTCTTTATCTATTTATCTTTATCTATTTTGGTATATATAAGTTAACACCTGGACAATAGTAGTTGGACTATTTTTTTAGTTTAATTGAAAGCGTGTGAAACTTTAGAAAATAATATGAGAAAAATGATAAATCACATTGAACGTTAACGATATTTAAATGGACAAAACAAAAAACAATATTTAAATTAAATAATTGAAAAAAAAAAAAAATATATATATATATATATATATATATATATATATATA